GGTGTGTGTGTGTGTGTGTGTGTAAAGAGAAGCACATCAACACAAGAATGGTCATTTAGTGCGGGGAAAAAGCAAGATAGGCAAAACAGAAATAAAAGAGGAAAAGGAAAGAAGATGAAGAACCTACCAGTAGTGCCCTCCAGCCACCCACGTACAGGTACATGTATTCACTTTGTTTTGTTAACCCTTCAATTTCCACAGGACCCTCAAAATGATGGACCCAAAGTTCAACCCCGAGACGGCCAAGATCTATCACTTCCGGTACATGAGAGAGTACAGAGCAGTGGCGGTCCTTTGGGCTCTGCTTACAATCATTTGGTGAGTGTTGCTGAGTGTGTGTCTTTAAAAAAATCAAGATCTAGTTTTAGACGTAGGCCTACTAGTTTTACAGCACTTACAACAAAAATATGTCATATATAATATAACCGCTGAACATTTGAGGTTTTACAAGAGAGTAACGTACAAAGAAAACGACTAGCACGTCTAATATTATCGTCATAGGTTTCTGCCATGAGGACCGGTATGCCGTAGGTGGGGCCCAAAACCTGCAGGACAGGTTTTTCGCGCTGATGGCTCGCTAGTCGCCCAGCTTTCCCTCTGTCGTGATCGCTATTGTGTGTGTGTGTGTGTGCTGCGGCTGAATAGCTTACAGAAGGGAAGGCCTGGTAGAGGACGAGGAAAAGGCTGGGAGACGAGTAGAGAGAAAGAGAGAGAGAAAAAAGAAAAACTAGAAATCTATATTTGAACCCAAGGGAAGGAAATGTGTTGTGCGCATGGTTCTCTGCTCTAAGGCCGGGCCTCACCCCTTTCGTCAAGCCCTTCTCTTTTCGGCCAGGGCAGCTCTTTGCTTTGGGTCAGTGTGAGAAAGACAGTGCAGATTCCTCGGATTTCGGTGCTAGGAAGGTGTAACCAGAAGGGATTTCGACAAGGAGTCTCGGACTTATAATACACCGAAGGTAAGAAGACCCAACCATTAAAGTAACCGTTTTCAAGACTTGAGCAAGCTAAGCGATCTACGCCCATAAACCGACTTCCAGATAGAAACATGTTTTTCTCCCTGGGCGCGCTGTCGATCGTGCGTTGTCGATATTCCGGATTCCTTCCCTGAAGGTTTTGGTTGGTAGGTGTTGGTCACCTAATGACATTGTCCACAGGGGCCAGTGGTCAAATCTTTGCCATTTATATATTTGATCATTATGAGGGTCGCTTGGAAAACAGTCAGAAACTATGGATAAATGGGGAAACGTAGAAAACGCCCAAGGGTCTACCCCCCCC